TGTAATTTTTAGTGATACTTTTCAGATGTAACTCTTAACATCATCATAAACATATAGTTTGAACAGTTATATAAAAATATGAACAGTGGAGGATTTAAATGCCAACGTCTCAGAGGAAAAGATACGGCCTTGTACGTCACTCATTTTCCGCCTAAAATCATTGTCAGTGGGTGGGTGATGACATCTAGTATTACCGTGACTTGAGAAAGCAAAGCCGGCAAGCATCCAGTCGCATCCCGTTATGGGTCCTATAATAATAATAATGGAATATATGAGATCCGGTGATGACCAGGTGATACGCTGAGTTCGAGTACCGGCAAACATGTACAAAGAATATAAAAGCTGGTCTGAGAACATATGTCAGTGTCGGATCAGCACTATATGGGTATGACTGTACATTCAATCGCGCACAGATTGCATCAAAATTACATTTTCCACAGTTCAGTCAGTCATTGTACCTCAAGAATAGCCGTCTAAGTTACTGACCACCTATCAGCAATCACCTCTATGTTGACGTTACAGCTGTCACTATCACTGGTCCGGCTCCGATGACATCCCGGATGGCTAATTTCCACTTTTGTCGATCACGCGCAATGTCCGCCACCAAGTTCAGCCAGTTTCTCTTTTACCGGCCCAGGGAGGCACCAACGCCAGCTCTAACAGTATCCCACCAGATCTTAACTTGTCTGTCTCTTTTTCGATGCCAACCACGGATGTCATTTCGATGGTAAACGTGCAAAAATATGAATGACACAAAGGCAGGGATAAAACAAAGCAGTATATGCACAACGATGGAATACGCACACATATTTTTTAAATGCATACACATTTTTGACAAGTCAGCCTGGAATAGAACGGGTCCCGTAATCATCATCAGTCATCCATAGTATCGCTGAACGTTCACTACGTTTCAGCTTCTGCCTGGCGCAAAGTTTCGTCTGCGTAGGCTTCAGTTCTTCTGAGTACGTGTCGGCTATCGATCATAACGGCAGTCTGCAATCGCTTCAAGCAGGAGCTGAGGATGAGTAATTTCAGTGTTGTCTTACAAATCAAGAGGTTTTATTCGTCACAACTAATATCAGGTTAATCGAGTTGCTGACTTATGTGTCCTTCCTTAAAACTCGTCACTTACATTAACAGAAACATCAACTTTAATGAGGAAACAACACCGATGCATTTTAATCATTACTGGTCGGATCTTATTTGCTCATTCATCCACCGGCTGTAGCATCACTGGCTTTTCCTACGGTTACGATCTTCCGCCCTGAGGGCGAACTTCACGAAGCTCTAATCCTAACATATTGTAAATTTCCTGCACATGCTGCAGGGAGATGAGTAATGATGAGTGATGACTCACTTCATCAAATGTTACCTTTTGTTCAGAGGTTAAGCACGACGCAAAATTCCATGCGAAATCTTCGGCTCTTTCTGGACCTAAGACTTCTGACGACTAGTAGTGCAGCAGCAGCAAATCAGCAGAAGTACATTTTGTGGGAATCATAGTTCGTTTTCAAGACTTGGTCGAAACATTGCAGTTTTTCCTTCTTCATGTTTCATGAAAGTGTATTTTGAATTCGAAGCTGTTTCATGCTCCATGCGGTAGTTTACACTCCTTGCAGAAGACTCCAACAGTCCTCCACAGTACCAACATTCGAACATTCGAATCCGTTCAACAAATTTACGTCATGCTTACTTGCTGATGGGGTCTTCACGTCCATCGATTGCAATCGACGATGTCAGAGATTATGTCAGTCTCAGCTTGGTAAATTTTCGAATACTGGAAGTCTGTCATACAGCAATAAGCTGATGCGGAAACTCCTGAATGTAAAGACCAACGCCTGGTCGCCTGGATGTGCCTTTGAGAGCATACGGTAAAAAGAAATGCTACTCGAAGACCAGGAGAATGGAGTGATCACCATATCTGCAAACTTGGGAGTAACTGTTGTTGCTCCAACGAACCAAGTGATCATCCCGCCGCCCGTGTTCGAGGTTTTCGCATGGACCGTCCTTAGCAGACTAAAGAAAAAAGTTTACCAGTCCTACGGATGAACCAGACTGGACATTTTTGCATTGATAACATCTTTGAACTACAAGAAATAATCGAACAAGGCCGAAATGTTCCAGCTCTCTTGGAACATTAAATTCCCGGACTTCAGCGCAGCCTTCAACTCGGTGCACTGTCACACTATATGCCGGAGTAACCATTAGCATCACACTCGTGAAACCATCATTAAGACTGACGAAGGACTGTACAATGAAACGCCAGCGCAGTGAAGAGATACCAAAGTGGTTCAACACCTTATCTGTGGTTCGTTAAGTGCTTCTGCAACTGCTGCTCAAAATCAATGTTAACTAAGGCACACGAAGAAGTGTCTTGGAAGCTATCGGTTTAGTTAACTGACTATCCAGCATGATAATCACCGAGTAAGCTGACGAAATCGTTCTAGTGAGCGACTTCGACAGTCGCCAGGAAGCCGTCAATGCAAGTTAAGAGCAACAAGGCAGAAGAAATGGGGCTAGCAGTTAACACGACAGACACAAATATGTGACAGCAGCAGCAGCACCAGTGACCTACGCTGCTGATGTCAAATGGAATGCTGCGATGGCAAAGGAAGTTCACCGTTTCAATCATATGGGTTCAGCTATAGTCAACTACGGAAGCCGCGACTCAGGCATTAATCGGTGAACTCTGCAACGCTATAAAGAGTATGGAACGAGCGACAAGTAACCATCGAAATGAGTCAGCGTCTGGAAAACAGCGGTCTTCTACGTTTTCTTGCACGGCTTTGAAATAGCTGCAAGCCTGAAGCGCCAAGCCGATCAACTAAACTTCTTACTTCCTGCAACGCTGCCTGCGTAACAACCGGTAGTATCACTGAGTACCGGACGATTACACACAGAAAACCGTCGCAC